CGTCCCAGGCCTGACACCTCTGCCTGAGGCCTCAGGCCTGGGCAAGGGGCCGATCCGGTGATCAGCGATCGGATGGTGATGAGGGTCAACTCCTTTGGTCTAGGCATCAGGCCTGGGCGGGGGGCAGAGCCAGCAATCAGAGGGTGCTGGGGGCAGAACCAGTGATGGGGGGAAATGAGGGTCCCCGGCCCAGGCCTGACACCTCTGTCAGAGGCGTCAGGCCTGGGCAAGGGGCCGATCCTGCGACTGGAGGGTGATGGGGGTCAACGCCTGAGGGCTCCCAGTATATGAGAGGGGGCAGGCTGGGCTAAGGCACACTCCCCCCCGCCCCAGTGCATGAATTTCGTGCACCGGGCCCCTAGTCTAATATAAAATTCTGTTTGACTTATGGGCAAATCACCTTATAAAAATGGTTATTACTATTCATTTGAATTGGATTAGACTAGAACTTCTGACATCAATTTTCCTTGCTATTTCCTCCTTCAGTGACTTCATGTCCAAGGTGACCATACAATAGGAGAAAAGTCTGACTCAGTTCCCCTGTGTCTCTCATCCACAATGACTATACACCCAATCCAGTAAATGCTTTTCTGTTTCAATTGCATCGTTATAAGCTCAGAGCCATTACCTTGTGACATTATGTGACTATATATATTAGGTACTTGTGCAAATACTAGTATGAGTAAACAGGAGTGTGTGTATGCACTGCAAGCTAACTCACCTGGGTCTTGAAAGATTCAGTGCAAAAGAAGGGGCGTGGGAGGGAAGAAGAGGGAAGGACAAATAACAGAGGAAAGAGAATATGATGTGTTTAAGAAAAAATAATTAGCCCGGTGTTGCAGGAACGTGGGTGGTAACAGATAGTATGGGAGAGGCAGGATAAAGCCAGATCAGGCAGGGCTGTATATCAGATCAGCTTTGTATCAGATCAGACAGGCCCAAAGAGAAATACAGGTGAAGGAGTATGGTGTTTCTCAAAATGAGTTTTGTGGTTCTCAGACACTGCCTCAAGGGTCTTCATCTTAAATTTTCATTTTTATGGCAACATAAAAAATTTGACATAAGGATGCTCTGGATCACCTGGATATATCTGAGTTACTTATGTTTGTGTTCACAATTATTTGTGTTGGTGCCAGGTGATTGCTAAATGGGGCAGTGCTTAACTTTTAAGTGTTTGTAAACACGTCTGGTTATTGTTGGGCTACTATGTCCCAATATGAGGTCAGACCCGGCGTCTGGGAGATACAGGTCTAAAACTAAGTGAACAAGTCTAACAAGAAAATTGCCAGCCCAGGTGGTAATGAAAAGGAACATAACCCTCCCAATACAGAGTGAGAGGCAGTCCAAAATGAAACTCTGGAGGATACTTACTTTAAAAAGATAAATGAAAGAAGAAAAGCCAAGTAATGAGAGCAAGAAAGAATCATCACAAAACAGAGAACACCAAAAGGGGGTGTTGTTACAGAAACCAGCCTCCTACCAACTAGGAGAGTGACAACTGCATCACTAAAATCTGCCATACAAACACTACCTTCTCCAGGAAGCCCATCCGAACCTTCCCAAATGCTTCCCACTCCTACCTGGATTAGGTCTACTGTTCTCTGGCTCCATGGCATCTTGTGTATGGTTCCCTAAACTATACACACTGTACTGGAACTGCTGACTAGTTGTTGAGCGGACATCAATACCCTATGAGCATCTTGAGACCAGAAATCTTCCCCCAACCTCTACCCATCTTTTACTTGGTATAGCTGGTATTAAATATTTGTGCAAAACTAACTGAAATTTGGTACTAATGAACATCAAAATTACATTGTAGATTATGAGAAAATATTCTCAATTCCCTTAATTCATAAGAGACTATCTACAAATATATTATAGGCCACAGGAGGTCCTAGTGAAGAATGGGTAGACAGATCACTATCTACACATTACAAATCAAATTAATAAATATTTGAGCGCTAATAAGGATGGCTGATATAACTTTCTCCCATCTCCCAATATCCCCAGTCTACAAAATAAACTTCTAAGTCCTTAGCAGAGCATCCCAAAGATCTCCACATAGATTCCCAAATCTACCTTGCCAATCTCACCTATTACTTCATTGCTCAACATCCTAAACAAATTCAATTCTTTTCTATCTCAATGAAGAAGGTTGAATTATATATATCTTCTAACACAAACCAAGTTCTATTATACTAAGCATCAAGCAACTGCCAAATTCTCTAATTTACAACTACTATTCCGAATGAAATACTGCTCCAATAATCTGTCAAATGTTTCCTGAAGCTTAGAATTCAGTTACGATAAAAAAAAAAATTCTTTATAAGATACATCAAAAAACTCATCTTAAAATAATTGAAGTTGGAAGGAAAGGGGGCAGGGGGCAGGCAGAAGAGGATAAAGGGGGTATAAATGATGATGGAAGGAGACTTGACTTAGGGTGGTAAATACACAATACAACATACAGATGATGTATTACAGAATCGTACAGCTGAAACTATATAATTTTATTAACCAATGTCACCCCAATTAATTCAGTAAAAAATTGAATTTGCTTAGATTAAATAAAAATGAGTATTGAATTGAATCCCCAACATCAAACATTGACCATTCAAAGCCATTACTGCAATTAACTGATGGTTGCACCAATGAGCAGAGCACAACACCAAACATACCCTTCCTCTAACTCAAAAACATCTTTGCAGGCTGTTAATGTATTTAACCGTTCAGTCACACCTCTTTAACTTGATCCGAAAGCAGCTCACCAATACAAATTTATTTAGAAAAGGAAATTTTATTTATTTACTACAATTATGTCCTTCATTAATTAAAGTCACAGTACTGACAATGATCATTCTGCAAATGCCAAGTTTATAGTTTAAATTAATCCATAAACACTCAATATATCACTCATTGGTGTGGGTTATGATTTTTTTTTTTTCAGACAAATGGTGTTGGAACAACTTGACATCTACATGCGAAGGAAAACTATCTAGACATCAATCTTACGCCTTTCACAAATTATAAAATGTAAACTATGAAACTCTTAAAAGATTAACATAAGAGAAAATCTAGATGACCTTGGGTTTGGTAAAAACTTGTTAGAGATACAACACCAAAAGCATTTCAAGAACACCAACAGTATTTCCATGAAGGAAAAAAAAAACTGGACTTTACTAATAAAAAATCTTAAAATTTAAATATTAAAAACTTCTTATCTGCCAAAAACATTGTTATAAGAATGAGAAGATAAGACCATAGACTGGGAGAAAATATTTGCAAAAGACATATCTGCTAGTAATAAAGAAGTATATCCAAATTATACAAAGAACTCTTAAAACTCAACAACATGAAAACAGCCCTATTTTAAAAATAGGAAAAATAGGTGTGCAGACACCGCACCACAGAAGATACACAGATGGCAAATAAGCACATGAAAAGATGCTCCACATCAGCCACTGGGGGTTTGGCAAGGGGGTATTGTTCCCTCTTCAGGTGTACAGAGTATGCTTTAGTCTTTATTCCAACCATAAACAATAAATATAACTGTGAAAGAGGAAAAACAAAAGAGTATACCTCCCTGACCTATTAAGTTTCTTACAAGCTGAACTAATACATGATTTCCAGACAAGGGTCTATGGCCTTTTGAAATGAAACAAAATCAAACAGCTCACTGCAGTATTTTTCTGTCACCGCAGGTGTTCACAAAAGCAGCATTATGAAAATGTGTAGAGATTCTTTCTTGCATATATGCATACAAGGTCCTTGGTTAATTACCTCCCACCTACCCACCCTCCCCCACCTTCCCTCCAAGATTCCAAACTTTGTTCCATGCTTCCATGTTGAGAGATTCTTTTCACCTAACAAGTCCATCTTTAACATTTATCCTACACCAGTGATGGCGAACCTTTTGAGCTCGGCGTGTCAGCATTTTGAAAAACCCTAACTTAACTCTGGTGCCGTGTCACATATAGAAATTTTTTGATATTTGCAACCATAATAAAACAAAGACTTATATTTTTGATATTTATTTTATATATTTAAATGCCATTTAACAAAGAAAAATCAACCAAAAAAATGAGTTCGCGTGTCACCTCTGACATGCGTGTCATAGGTTCACAATCACTGTCCTACACCTAAGAATTACAGCTTCCAAATTTATCTCTCATACTTATTATCCTCAAAGAACTTTTACAATAATGAATTAAATTTTTTTCTATACAAAATGTTACAATATACTTACAGTTTCACATGTAAGACATCTGGTTTCATTAGTTAATGTTCCCTGAAAAATCTCATGAACCCATGTTGGGTCTGGTGTGCTGTTGTTGTTTTCACTGTCAATGTTACCATTCGGGAGACGGCCATTTTGTTTTTCCTGCTTTCTCTCTTCTTGTAAAATATCAGCAATTGTATTTAGTAGGTAATTTAAAAACTCATGGGCATCTTGCTGCATATAGTTGTCAAAAAGCTCTAAAAATAGAAATATATTAGAGAATTATTTCAGAATTAATAACTTCATTTAAAAGCTAACTTTTAAAAAGAATAGTATTCCATAAGAACTAAGTAAAAATATTTGGTAGTGTTAGTAATTTACAAGAAATAAGTATCTTTCACATCTAAAAATTATGACTGAATTTGGAGAAATAAAGTTAAGATGAATGAGAATCTTTTTTAAAAAAATAATACTAACTGATCCATGAGGAAAGGGCAAAACCTATCCTCATACATTTAACATAATGCACTGGGAAGACGAGAAACAATTGCTTTTTATTAGCTCATCTAATTTATTATCCCACATATATTACAACATGGCACGTTTTTAAGAAGGTGGACAACCTCTTGCTGCTGTCAAGCCAAACGCATAAAAATCACACAGAACGTATGTCAAAATTACAAATGACTGGGCCATACATCCCAGAGATTTTGATTTAGTCAGTCAGTCAGAGGTGAGGCCTGCAACCTTGACTTCCCAAAGCCCTTCCAGGTGACTCTGATGTTTACTGAGTTTTAAGAAATAATGATATCAGGATTTATCTATTTAATCTACCGTATTTGCCGGCGTATAAGACGACTGGGCGTATAAGACGACCCCTAACATTTCCACTCAAAATACAGAGTTTGTTATACACTCGCCGTATAAGACTACCCCCTCTTCCGCACACCTTCCACACACCAAATAAAAGGTAAAACAATATCAGATTTGATTTTAACATTTTAATTTATATTCAAATGCTTATGACATGCAGGAAAACTGTCACAAGGCTGTATGTAATCAAACATATACATAAAACAGTGCAAGTTTATTACCGGTAAACATACAGGTAATTCCAG